TCGTAAGCTGCTGGGTTCCACCACACCTCATAGGATTAAGATCCTAGATCCCCCAATCCTACCTTGCCACGTCATTCATACCTTCTTATCCTCCAATCGCCTTCAAGGAATAGATGTCCTATCCCCAATTGGTCAATTTAAAAGTGTTTTCCCATAGCCCTACAAACCAAGCTACCTAATCATTCTTCATCCTAAACACTAAACAATCATATCATCACTGATTAATCTTTCTATCAATACGTAGGGCACATGATAATATCATTCGCACAGGCAAGGTACCTCTTCTTGTTCAAAAGACTCGGAAAACATATCATGGTCATGGGGGAAAAAGAACTAGATAATCAAATATAAGAGTTATATAAATTATAATACTCCTTTATAAACAACATGGTCATTGAGAGTGTGCGTATATATAGGTTTTTGTTACATACGAATTTTATCTCATGTTTTATTGTAAAAAATAATATATCAATTACAAAAATGACAGTAGAGCCGATATGGAAGGGAGTTAGAACTTAGAAATGTTAATGTGTTTAGCTTTTCTCATGAGAGCATGTAAACAAGGTAGCTTATAGCCTATAAAAGATGGAGTTCAACATTAATTAATTCTTGTAGAAATAAGTTCATAAAGTTCACAAAGATATTTTGATCTCAAATAGTAGCAAGTTCCACACGTTTTAGTCTACACGAGAAAAATATCAGCTGTCCATAAAAAATATCTGCCTTAAATTGAGTAGTGGACAAAAATAAAGACCTAATAAAGTAGAAGCTTTTATAAAATCTACTTTACATGCACTTGTATTTTGGACTAAAAAATTTTTTGTCTCCATTTTTTTCTTTCAAGTACTAGTATAAAAAGGGTAATTTACGTCAGTTATTTTAAGTTTTTTACATCAGAAAAAGGTCCGACGTAAATGCGGGAGACGTAAATTTACATCGATTGTGATAGTCGACGTAAATTTACGTCGAACATTCATAAGAGCCGACGTAAAAAAGTTGTAAACAAAAAAAAAAATAACCTGTGTAAGCAGAACGGGCCATTCTGCTTGGAGATCCACCCAAAGACGAAGAATTTTCTACTTAGTATTAACTAATATATTAACAAACGATGATCCATCCAAACGTGAAGAAGAGGATAATATTAACTAATATATTAATAGATCAATACATACTATCTGTCTGGAGTTTCTAGTGTGCGATGCCGTGTGTAGTGGTCGTTACATAACTTAGAATAATCGTTAAGTTGAAACAATAAATAATGTGCGTAAATGAACCTAGGTGATGTAATATTTGAAAAAGAGAGCAAAATTATTTTATTGATGGATTGAAAATAAGACAGTGGATGGCGGCTATAAGCTTATAAGGCAGTGGTTCGTCGCATTTGAGCTTGTTCTCTGCTTCGTATCTCTTTCGGTCACCAACCAGTGGGACCCACCAAATCAACCATTTCCACATCGTTATGCCAAATTGCCAATAATTTCATCTCCTCATAATCATACCTTTTATTTAAATAATTACTAAAGCAAGTTAAAATAATATTTAGTTTGTAAAAGTCATTTCTTGGAAAAATAGATTAATTTTTATTATTAATTTTAAGATATCATATAAAATATGTTTATTAATAATAAAAAATATTAAGATTAGTTTCATCAATTTATTTAATTAATTTTTTTTTTATCATTAAGATTGCAATAACAATAAAATTTAAATTTAAGATCTTATTCATATTATTTATATTATTTCTTCAACTTCTTAATATTAGGTTCATTTTATTAGTTTCTAATCAACTAATTTAAAATTATATTTGTTTAACAAATAATTTTAAATAACAAATTTTATTAAATATTAAAACGATTTTTTTTTATTATTTATAATAGTTCCATTTAAATGGAATATATTACATATGTAGGATTTAAAAAAATAATAATTTGGTATATATATGGGTATTTATTGTCAGTTAAATTAGGTTTTTTACACTAATTAAATTAGTTTTTTACAATTCTTAATAGAACTGATATAAGGATGAGGTCAATAATATTCTTATTTTAAAATTTCTTGAAAAATATTTATATCAATATTTACATAATTTAAAAAAAAAAACTTATAACTTAAAATTTATTTTTTATATTCATAATAATTTACTTTAAGATATTTATCTCTAAAAGATATATAAATATAATTATTTTTTCAAGATCTATCTTTAAAATATATTTTTATCAAAAAATATTATTATTAACTTTAAAAAATTATATTAAAATTTACTTTAAATTTAATAATATATTAGGTCGACATTGATTCTTAATCTAAAGATTAATAAGATTGAAGAAAAGTAAATAAGTAACTTTAAATATAATTTTCATGATTTAAGGGATAAATTATTGATATCATATTTTTAACGAATAATTTAATTATTTATTTTAATTCAATAAGTTAGTTGATTTTTCTTCTTTTTGATGAAAAAAAAAAAAACTTCAAACTCACTACAGTATTTTTTGTGTGCGTGTTTGTACGCCATATACTTATATCTACAATATGGTACTTTCGAACTTAAATTATTGAAGATGTGACCTTATATCGTAACATGTATCTCTTAATGTGTACCAAAAAAGTACTTAAATTGGTATTTTTAATTGATTAAGTATATGAAAAATTATTTTTTAAAAATATAATTATTTATTAAAAATTTAATCTATTGATGTATGAATTTTAACTCACGTAAAAAAATCTAGTTGAAAAGAAATTCCCCTAAAAAAAATCAGTTATAATAATAAAAGAAAAACATTTTCCTCATTTTATAGGAGTAATTAATCTGACCTAACAAAGAAAGTATATGAATATTAGATATAAGATAAGATCATAAGAAAGCGAAAGGTGACCTCTAAGGAAGCAAAACCTCACTTAAGATATTTGTTCCATATCTCTGATGTTAAGATAATTGGCGCCAGATTTTGTAAAAGGAACACAATTCCTACTAACATGTTTTTTAACACTCTTTTTCTTTTCGACAAACTTTTATTAAATATAATATCTATGTCTGTTCATAAAATATGTGAGTTTAATTTATATTTTTTTTAATTATCATTGATCACATAGATAAGTCAATATAAGATTAATTCGATTTAATAAGTCATCTCAAGTTTTAATGTTGAATATACTATTGTATTAAATATTTAAAAATATAATTTATTGTGTATAATAATTATATCTTATTTTTGTATAACAATCCGTATATAAGATATTTGATGCATAAAATAAATTATAAAATTCATATTTTTCCAGCTAATTAGGCTAATAACATAACTTTTAGTTAATAAAAAAGTCAATATTAATGAACTTTTTATTAGTATACTTCAAATTCAATGAACATTAATAAGTTATTAATTCGAGTAATATTGTATTTAATTTTTTTAAGTAATACATTGAATTCAAGCTTTGTAAATAAAAAAAAAATTAGTCAAAAATAAAAATTAATAATGATCAGTAATTTTTTTAATAAATATTAACTATTATAAATTTGATACATACTTCATATTAATATTATAATTATAAAAAATAAAATTAGGTTAAACAAAAAAAAAATCGTTTCAATTTAATTTCTTGAGCCACTTTAACTTTTTAAAATACATGCCTTAGAGGAAATTGATATTTTCATGAATTTGTAACTTTAACTACCAATTTTAACATCTCTCATAATTTCAAGTGTTACGAAAGTAACTAAAATAATATATTAACTAACGAAAAGATAAAGTTAATTAATCCAAAATAGTAAAGTAAAATTTAAAAAATTAGAGTATTGAAATAATGGAAGTGAGGTGAAGGAGCATAGGTGAGGTGAAAGAAAGCCACTTAAAGTTGTTGGAAATTTGAGAGTGGCATATGTTGAGTAGGGGAGAGAAGCATACACCATTTTTATTTGTTGCTTTCTTATTAACCTCTTTCTGCCCACTATGGCCCCACTTCCTTCTTTTCATTCATGTCTTTTAACTAAACTATATATGCTCAATCAAACAACATTTCTTTAACCTACCTTATAATTCCTTTGCTGCCTAAGGAGTTTCATTCTAAGTGTATTCTAACTTATTTTTAGTGGGTCATATTTTACTTTTCACTCACTAAAAATCCCTTATTTTGAGTCAAAAAATTATATTTTAATACATAATTATGTAATCTTAAGCAACTTCTATAAGAAGCTTATAAAAATTTGTTTGTTTATCAGTATTATCAAGTTGTTTAAGAATCAAATTAAATAACTACATTAAAGTTGCTCTAAGTGAAATATTGTGTATAGGTGTAAAAAAGTGTTTGATTTTGAGATAGAACATGTTGTGTTTACATAGTATACACTTAATTGACACTCTTTATTTTTATTTTTTTTTATATTATATATCATTTATAATATTTATTTATTTTTTCTCTTCTACATCTAATAACATTTGAGTGTTGATGTATTATTTTTCATAAACGAATTATTGCCGTATTACCTTTCAATCAAAGAAAATTCATTGAAAAAGTTTATCTTTCTCCCACACAGTCATTAGCTTTCACAACTTTAACTACATTTATAGATAAGTTGCTCTACTTATACTCCATCATAATGTCGTTTCAAACCTATTTTGATCATATCCTTATTCAACCATCAACTTGCTACTAAAATTAAATTAAAATGAAATCACTATTTTGAACAATATTTTGGCAACCTGAATTTGCAGGAGATGTTCCTTATCATGATTTCATCCCTTCCAAACAGCCCCTTCTCATGTTTTTCTTCCTATTTATACACAAAATATGTGAAGCATGAACATTGACAATTCCTTATTAAAATAATGATATTAGTCAAATCATTATGGTACCCCTCCACCTACCTACAGAATCCCAAACGACCAAATCTTAAAAACTAAAATCTTGCAATCATTAATTTGGCCTTTACCAAACAAGGCTTTAATAAACAAAAAATAAATCATGCATGGTGACAATATAATCATCCAACTTTAGACACCAAATTTTCAATTAACAAGACTTTACTTAATAGAATTATATATAAGAAACTACAATATAGAGTCCTGCTAAATTCTAATACCTTGCATCATAGTTTTTCTCTTCCTTCCATGACATGAACATTTAAAATTACTTACACAAATTAACATATAGGGAAAAATTCTCTACTTGGATTAGGAAAATGTAAATGATCACTCTACTACTATTTTTCTCTACACTCTTCCTAAGCTGCACAAAAACCTTATTTTTCTCTACACTCTTTCTAAGCTGCACAAAAACCTTGAGTCACGAGGGTAGTTTCGGAATTCCACGTAGTGAAAACAGAATACGACAAAAAGAAACTTTAGTAGAATTACTGAACAGTCCCCGATATTTTGCGAAATGACGAAAACGCCCCTCAACTCGGCCACATCAGGAACTCGTCCGGGTCAAACTCGCCGAACTCTTCCTTCGACCGCTGACTCAGCACGCCGGAGTTAACGTCCGTCAAACTAAACGGCGCGTCGATGTCGAACCCGAACGCGTCGACAACACCGTAACGGAAGCCGTCAAACGGCGGCGTGGACTCGTCGTCGCAGTAGGCGAGGACGGACGTCGGCGACGCAAAACCCTCACCGGAGAACGGCGGCACCGCCTCGGAAAATTTTTTCTCGGCGACGGAGAGGGGGAAGTTGGTGACGGCGTTGGGGCCCTTGAGCTTCACGGCGGCGGCGTCGTAAACCGCGGCGGCTTCCTCCGCCGTGTCGAACGTGCCAAGCCAGACCCGTTTCCGGCGGG